AGAAGTTTTTTTTTTCCTCTTTTTGCTTGGAGATTTATATTTTCTATTTGTTCTCCAAAGAAAGAAAACTTTTATGAGAAGGTAACTGTTTTGTATATGAAAGTTGTAGTAGATCTGAGCTATTTCAGATGTTGACTTATCTTGGGGAATAAACAAAAAATATGTTCTGAGCTGCTGGGGGGAGAAACCTTTAGATAACTCTATTTAAATCTGCAGTGAAAAACTGAAAGTACAAATACTTTTTCAGAATGTAGTTTTAAATTACAGTTTTATACTTTGGTAAGTAGTTCTTTTTATTTGCAGGGGAATGCAGAGATGTATCTTTCTCCAGATACACCTACAGCAGCAAGCTGGCAAACCGCAGAATAATTACACCAAAGCCAACTGAAACAATCTTTAAGAGAGTGCCCTCAAAAATTACTGGCTACTCTGTGTAATAAATGCCAGTGTGCAGTCTCAGGATGACACCTAAAGCCTTGGTTAATAAATGTAATCCGATGAATCCTCTTAATGCAAAGTATGTGCACTGCCAGCCTGTGACAAACGTGCATGGGTCTGTGGAGACTTACAGGTTGTCGTGTTCAGCTTTTAGTAAATAAAATATGTTGTAGCAAAGTATGGGCCAAAAAAAAACCTTAATGGAAAATGAGTCTGTTCAGTCAGTCTCTACCAACATCATTTTCAGCTGTGTATTCATTATTTTATCCCAGGGTGATGCCATCCTGTTGGAGAGCGCTGTTGTGGTAATTAGTCACCACATGCCCAGGGTAATCAGTGTTATCACTACGTGGCAACTGCTACTTCAATGTGTTTTCTTCCATCATATTTACAAGAAGCAAAACTATCTTTAAAGTTCAGTTTTTGACATTTAACAATGGAAACTCCCCTCTGGCATAAAACTGGTTTCCAGTGGTTTCACTGCACTGTGTGCCTGAAATTACAAGTGCAGTGTTGCCTCAGTTTTCCAGGATACTCACACAGCAGCAGCATTAAGGGAGTGGAACAAGTATCAGTTATCCATGTTAAGTGCTCTTTACACAAAACTGTTATTAGGAAACCAATGTAAGCTAGCAGAAGCCTAGGTGTTAACTTTTAGACAAGTTATGGTGTCAGGCTCAGCTTTTTACTGGAAATTCTTCTGAGTGTATTTAGCTGAGCTTTTCTGCTCGTGACAATATGTAAGGAAAGCTTAGTTTGGCTGCCTTATTGCTTGTAAGTGGAAGGATAAGCTGCTAAATCTCTCATTTGAGTACGCATGTATTTGAATTTTGTCAGTCTTTAAACTGGACAGCTTTCTTTAATCATTAAAGTGAAAGATATTTCTCTAAGGCTTAGAGTAGCTGAGCTAATAATTAATAGCTACTAAATGAAAGCCAGTTCAAATACCTGATGATAAGTGGCTAACACTGTGTGGACTTGAAGGTGTTAAGCTGTCTTTGGAACTGCTTAGTAAGAAACTACATGTATGAATCTCAGCCTTGCTAACATTTTTGTCAGGCAGTATTTCCAGTCACTTCACATCAGATGCCTTGACACCCTGCTCAGTATCAAGAAAATGTTACATGTTTATCCATCCATGTACGTCCAACCCACAAACAGTAACCTGAGTTTGGTTTTGGGGTTTTTGTCACTCACCTGTATGTAAGATCAGGGTTGGTATTGTTACTGTCCGTGCTCTTCTAGTAAAATGTTAACCCAGTGCATTTTCCGAGCATGGGCAGTTCGGGAGTGACATGGATGTGCAGTAGGTTTTTGGAGGGCAGAATGACAGCTAGCATATGTTTTTGGAGGGCAGAATGACAGCTAGCATATGATTCTTCTACCTATTGCTCTTCAGTCCTGCATCAAAGCAAGAAGATAGTCTGTAAAATGTGCTTTGTGTTTGTCTTTACTAGTGCTCCAGAAAGGGAGCACTGCTCAGGTTCATATGAAGCAGTATGCCCATTGTCCAACTTCCTTGGACCCAACACCGTCTACTCAGAGTCTTCTGCTTCATTCCTGCTTGGTGTTTGTACCATTCATTTATCCTGTGGACATGTGAAAGGGCCATGAGAATGCTTTTGGGCATGTCAAGCTAATGAGCAATGGAGAAATCTGTTCCTTCAGTGATTAAAAACTCTGCTAAGCAATTGCTGGTTTATGGCTGCTTGGCAGAACACCACACAGGGACAGACATGTAGCTACCTACCTCATTCTCAACTCTCTTTAATAACCTTCTCTGTGGGTTTTTAACAGTTTCCAAGGCAACTGGAAACAGAAACATCTCTGTAAAGCAGAGCTTCCTAGAACTCTCCACTTCAAGTGGTACACATAGCAATTACAGCTTTCTCTTCATCACTGAGTTTTCACCAGATTTTTAAAAGATCTGCAACTAAATTTGTCCCATCATTGGCTTTGAGATTTTCTTCCCTAAAAATATAAAATGGTGGTGGCAAACATTATTTTGACTTCCTGAGGAGATGTGGAAAGATACCATAAGCCTTCCCTTCTGAAATGCTAATTATGAGCAGCCCATCTGCCAGAGCTGTTTCCATAAACTAAGCAGGAGGGTCCACAATGAAACAATTACAGAAATACAGAGAAACCTAGTTTGCAGCTGTTGTTTGAGCAAGGTCTACCATGAGAGATATCGCACCATGTGAGACAGCAGTACAGAAGAGTGAAGTTTTTTCCCTTCTCTCCTGTGGACATAGGACTGCATTTTTATAGAGCATTCAGGAAAGAAATGTCTTTTTTCTCTATTAACATGCCAATAGAAAAGCCAGCTGCAGCCAGTTTAGCAAAAGACAGTTATACCCACTGAATTATACCCACTAAGGCAATACTTTTCCCAAAACCAGTGCAAGTAAGGTCAGTTGTCCCTATAAACTTGAAAACAGCAAATTTATGTTTAAGAATGTCTTGAAAACAGCAAATTTATGTTTAAGAATAGTTATGAAGGTCTGAATTTATAGGAAAACAAGAATAATTGCATGAGAAAAAAAAAGACAGCTCTACAGAAATTGTGTAGTGTGTTAAATCTGCAAGGTTATATTTTCTAGACTACTGTTCTGCTGTACTGATTTATTAGACTAGAGGTACAAAATGTTTAAGGCTGTTTCATAGTAGCAACCATAGTTTTGTCCTTGAAGAAACTGGAACCTCAAGCCTAAATGAAACGGGTTTGAAATATTTCACTTGTATGCTGTCTACTACTTTTGACTTTCTGTGTGTGAGCTTGACCTAGACAGTTTCTCTGTGTCTCTGCTTTAGAGGTATTGAAGGTATTCTTTCAGCATTATCTTTATATGAAAAAGGAATTTAGAGTGAAATAAGAAAGTAAACCCCCTAAAGCATGATAAAAGAGAATAATGAAGAGATTATAGGTTTAGATATAATATATGCATATAGCATATACATATAATACATATATATACACATATATATATACTTTAATTAGTAGCCTAGATTCTTAAATTCTTCAGATACAAGTTTGAATGGTCAGGTGATTCATCCTTTAAGGTAAAAGCATATCTGTAGTATGACATTCTCAGATCACTCCCTACCACTGGTAAAATCTCCAAAACACGCCTATTAATGGGCAAGGAGAAGTAAAATTAATAAAACTGTGCTATCAGAGTTATGTTGTAAAATGTGCTATTATAGGAATTGAACAGATGAGGTGACAGCCAGAGGCACCTGTGAAAAGCTGCAGTAATTAAAAAGGGGTCAGTCTGGGAAGTTGTTCAGTTAAACAGGTGGCTTCCTTGGAGTAAAAGGAGTGTCTCTCTCCTCTATCTTTTTTATTTTGAATGAGGAGCATGGCTCAGTTGCTGAAATAATTTCATCTAGTGTGATTTTAGGTGCTGTAGGCTGTTGGCTGAGGTACAGAATGATGCAGGTCTCCATAGGTCCCCTGTCAGGATGTCTCAGATTCCTGGGATATGTGAGTTGGGCTTAGCAAAGGAGTTCTACCAAAGGTCTGTGTTTCAGCTTCTAGAAACATTCACTGGTGGTCTCCGCCTCACCAGCAAGTTACCTTCTAATGACCATGAGAACAGCTGGGAGAAAACAGGCAAAAATCCAAAGGAGTAAGAGAGAATAGGGAAAACCTTAACAAAAGATAGGAGACAACATTTGGAACGAGGTGTAGGAAGGAGTTCAGTGTGAGACTCATTACCAGTCTTCCAAAAGTGTGCAGATACTTCCCACCAGTTACCACCGTGACATTGGCTCCAGGGGAACAGAAATGTTCTCCTTCTGGGAGAACAGGGATGTGCCTTCACTTGATTTGACCTTGGAAACCCTTGGTTTAGGCCCTTATATATCTGCAATGAGAAGGAGAATGTTTCTTATTTAAATATTGTATTTTATGCTGTTATAAGTACATACTGGCATAATAATGACAGTCTGATTGAGGGAAGTTCATTTTTCTACACATTTTACAAAAATAACATTTGTTCTTTTAAATATTTATTTCATAATGTCCTTGGCCATTTTATTTTTACTATATTGGAGTTTTATCTTAGGCTGAAAATAACTTAAATTCAAATTATAATGTCTTTATTGAGTCACATGAGTCAAAGAATTGTATTTGACATTTCTTCATTAATTCTCTTGAGAAATAGATTTGAATTTTTTTTTCAGTTTTGGAATTACTATGGCCTGTGTCAATTATATAATGTGTCAAACATTTAAAAGAGATATTTTCTTTCCAAAAAGAAGTTGTTTTCATTGCTTTTCCTTTAAGGAGGCACATGTTGGCAAAACATAAGTCAGCTGCACTACTAATGTTCTCTGGAGGTCAGTTTTAAAAAAATATATTAAAATTAGCATACTTTGATTGAGGTCTCCTTGTCTATTCTATTCTTATTCTATCTACTCCTTAGAACATTCCCTTTTGAGTTTTCTCATTCTTAGTCAAATTCTTAGTCAAATGTGTGATGAACTGGTGTTGGATGATGATCATGATTATTGTACAGCCTGAGTTTCAAAATTATGTTTTGGCAATTCTGTCCAAGGAACAAAACTTGTCTGGAGATAAAGGAAAAGAAGAAACAGAAGGAGATAAAGCAAAAGAAGGAACAGAGAAAGAAGAGGAAAAAAAAGGAAAAGAAAAGGATCGTAAACCACCTGAGGGAGAGACAAGCAGTAGTAGTAGCACTTTGGAAACTGGAGAGGTAAAGGCCTATTAAGTTACTGATCTCTAAAAGAATTTGGTTCTATAACTAACTTCAGTTTGATATGTGTGTAGCTATCCTATAAATGCAAAGCAGTTGTTTGGGGTGGCTTTGGTAGAGGGAGAAGCACATGTAGGTGTTAAGTTAAACATCTTTTTTTTAAACAATTCTGAAAGAGGTTTTTGGTTTGTTTGTTTGTTTGTTTGTTTTTGTCTGTAGACAGAGGAAACTACTCAGAAAGAGCCCATCGTTCAGCAGGGTAAGAATACAACTCCTAAGAATTGGACATTCTAAAGACAGATAAAAGTTTTGTAAACAATATTATAAAAATACTGGACAACACAGTTCTTGTTCATAGTTAGTAAAGCAGTTGTTGAGAGGTAATGAAATTTGAGTGGCAAACCCCCATTATTAATTGTTAATGATTTGAAAGAAATAAATACTTTTCTCAGTTACATTCTGGAGGAAGTCCACAAGAAGGACTTTGTCTTAGCAAGACTGCATCCTGCTAAGAGCAGTTCTGGTTGTGCAGTGCCAAAGTCATTGTAATTTTATTATCTCTCAGGCAACTTCTTTAGGTGCCCTGTGCCCCGCTTCAATCAAAAAGCTTCTCAGAATTCTTTCCCCATCTTTTTCAGCTGACATTTCCTCATTCCATTCATAAAGAGATTATTTTAGGTGAAATGTGATAATTGTTGAACACTGCTCAGGATCATGAAGGTGTAAGTAAAGAATCTCCTTGCAGTTTTGATGGCAGTTTATGAGAATGTATTCCCTTAGAAAAGCTGGGGAACATGAAGTTGGGTGCCCTGTATGTGTAGGACTTCTTTTATTTTAGAAATTTTGCAATAATCTAGAGTGGTTCTCTTGAAAAAAAATAACAAGTGTGGTATAAAACAGACCACAGCCATTATAATGAAGAAGCTATGCCATTTATTTTCAATATTATAATGAAAATAGCTTGTGCAGAAGGGATGCTTAAATATTTTTCCATTACCCAGACGATCTGGAAGTTTTGATATTAAGTTTGAAATTGATATGATTCATACAGGGAGTATAGGAAAATTTAAACACAGGAACATCAAATGAGATGGAAAATCTTTCCTTTCCCAGAATTGAATTTATTCTATGGAATAAAACTCATGCTGAACTGTAACTCCTGTCCTAAAAGTCAGCTTTACCAATTAGAATATACTTGCAAGTAAGTGTGCAAGACATTGTCTCCTGTCAGCAAGAGGAAACTGTGAGTGTCAAGTAAAAATATTTTATATATTGTCACTGCCATTAGTGTTCAGTTCTTAAAAATTGAGCATCTGGAGAGTAATATCAGGACATTACATGAAGAGATTAAAAGATAAAAATAGTCTATTCAGGCTGGGCATCAAGTTTTATTGAATATTCTGATTGATTTTAAGTTTTATTTAGTGACCTTTACTTCAAAAATAATCTGAAGAGAATTTTTTTCTTCCTTTCTGTGATATTTTTCTGATTTGCATAAATCAGAAGAAAATTAATATAAACGTTCGTATTATTGTAGAGGAGGAAAGCACTGACAATCACACTGTGAAGAATTCGTCAGAGAACACTGATGACCAAAAAACTGGAGGAATTGTGGGGAGAATAAAGGTTTGTGGCCTGATGGTTCTTCCTAGCTTTGCCAGTAACCAAGAAGCCAGTGGGCAGTTACCAAAGCAAACACATCAACTGGCATGAACTGCATAATTAAATTGCTGAGAAACCTATTCCTTCTGTTTAAGACTTGATTTTATTTTTTGATAAAATAACTTGAAGTTGTCAAAAATAATAGAAATTAGTTAAAACCCTTTATGACCTCTTCATGGATGGCATGTCCCTGAAAGAGAGATTGTTTATCACATCACATACTGGTGAGGTGAAAACTTAGGACTTCATGCCTGTGGGACATTATCTATAAAGATTTCCCCCCCATTTGTCTCTGAAAGCAGCAGCTGAGCTCATTGATCTTGCATTTATTTGCAACATGCACTGATTTTGTGATCATAGATATCTCTCTAGATAGGTGTATGAGCATGTTGAGGAGTACCTGATATGGAATTTCTTACAGGTTTTAGGATCCAGAGGCTTCTGCAGAGGCTGCTGAGTTTCCTCCTGAGTTGACCAAAGACCCTAAGCATCAGTTAACTGACACGTGTGTGATCTCACTGAGCACAATCACTGTCACTAAAGGCAGTACACATCTTTATCAGGAGCATAGTAAGCACTTACTGCTCTGGGGCTTTATTTTTGGACCTTGCCTCAGGCTCTTATTTGAAAGAAACCCAAATAAATGCAGCACTTACAGCATTTTGTACAAACTGTACGATGTGTAATTTGATAAAATGCAACCACTTTAACTTTTCTGATTTCCATGTGCTATTTTACAACATTTCAAATATTGCAAATGTTTCTGGTTAACATTTTTTAGTCATTTTGTTTGGAAAAAAAAATCATTTTACCAAGGAGAAATCTGCCAACCTCATTTAATTTTGGTATATACAAAGGGGTTTGTGGGGTTTTTTTAAATCTTGAATTTCACTGCTGTTTCTGTCATATTCTTTACCTGTTTTTTTCACTTCAGTTTTCCCTGTTCAAGAGAAAACCACTGACAAGCCAGAAGATTGAATGTAGTGGAAAGGAAGACAGCCCTGAAAAGCCATTGCAGAGTGAAGAAAAAGAAAAGGAAGATTTATCTGGTGAAGACAGTAAGGATGAAAATCAGAATCATACACCAGAGAATTCCAGTGAAACTGCAACTAACCAGAACAGAAGGGTGAAAGTTAATACATGTATATTGCTGTAACACTGTTACAATATATGAGAATGTGACAGTCTTAAAGCACATAAGTGCAATTTTTACTTGAAAACATTTCAAGTTATGACTTGAGATGTTGATGGCTGCTTTTGTTTTTATTGATTTGATTGCTGTAATTTTAAATAGGCAGATGATTTTTTTGGTATTTATTGGTAATTTTAATAGTTCAAAATGATGTGCTTATCAGCACTTTGCTGGAGTTTGGTGGCCTTACCTGTTGATGTTCTAAAGCAAAATATGGGTTTTTTAAATGTGAAAATCAAATACAGGAATTTTATGGATTTTTGCTAAATAAGTTTATTGTTTCTGTCTACAGAGTACCACTTCCAGCATGATACTCTTGCAAAATTATAATATTTGATGTAAGATATTATTTGGTTTAACAACCTAGTTAAGAATATTGAAGGTACTCACTTACTTGGAAGTATCCATGTTTCTTTCTGTTTTGACATAGAAAAAAATAGCAGTAAAACTTTCAAGTTAACTTGTAGGCCATTACTGAAGACGTTACTTGAGTATGTGCCTAATTTCATGCATGGCAGCACACCCAGTGGAAATAGTGTAAGTATAGAAATACCCTGCCAAACTGTGACAGGGAGAAAGCTTTTATTTCTGAGAGGTGCTGAAAACCTTTGCTCCTGCTGAAATTGGCATGAGCTGATGGGCCTCTCCTCACTGAATCAGGCCCAGTAAAAACTGGACACTCTCGCTCTTGCATCACTTGGATTCTAATCATGTATTCTCTGAACATCCACACCTTAATGAGTCTCCAGTGAAGCTTTTCTTACAGGAAAATAATGCAGCCAGAGGTACTGTGAGTTCAGTATGACAAATTGATCTTTATGGGATAAATATTCATGTTTTTCTCAGGCAGAGTCGCTTTTCTTCAGATGGCCACTTAGCAGGAGGAGCCAGAAATCAGTACAAATAAAACTGGTTAACACCACTGTAGCATTAAGAAGCAGGAATTCTTTATTCAGCAGATGCTCAAGGGGATATCTCCTCCAAAATAATGTGCAGGCTGAGTACAGAAAAAGCTCCTGTTTATAAATTATATTTCACATACACAGTCATTGATTTTCCCATAGTAAGCATACACGTGATAAATAATTTCCATGAAATCATTAATATCTTTTCCCTTCCCTTTACATGCATTCTTCTGTCCTGGAGGTCTCTTTGCTGGTCCCTGGTGGTTGGTGACCCCAGAGTCATCCCTGACCACACAGGGAACTGGTAAAAGGTGGGACAACTGGGCTGGTCGCTTTCCAGTTCTCCCTTCATTTTTTCCTAGTTTCAAAGTTGCTTAAATTTTATATAATAGGTCAGAAGTGTCCAGAGTTGATTTCATCCAGAGTTGGTTCACCTGAATGCTTTGTCCTTATAAGTATAGCAGGTGCCCAGATTCTTTCACAGGGCCTCCTCTGCTACCATAATCATCATACTAAAAAGCTGGATGCTTGGGTCATTCTTTGCCAGAGTTAATTAGGTTCCTTTTGTGTCTTTTGTTTTCCTTTGGGCTACTCCTGGGTTCTGCAGTGAACCTTACATGAGGGGTTTTCTCCTCCATTTTATTTATCTATTTTCTTATTTTTCTGAATGCCACATGTGGTTTCTGTTCTACTTGGAGTGAAGTGGAAAAGGAGAAATAAAGTAAATGGCTCTCTCATTAATTTAAATAAATTTAATTATTTTTTTAAGGGGAGGTCAGTGAGAAATTTTTACTGTAATGACAATTTCTTTTTTTAAAGGTGAACAAATCTAGTGAGAAATAGTACTTTAAAATGGGAATTACCCTCTAATCTAACACTACAGAAGTTTATGCAATGGACTGTAAACTGCTGTATGTCTGATCAGTTTCAGGGATAGGTACATTTATCTTGTTCACACACTATGCTCAACAAGAAGCAGGAACATATTAACCCATTCCAATGTCTTTTTTACATGTCTTCATTTTTAATAAAAAAGATTAAACAAATAAAACAATTTACATGTGTATGTGTATTAACTTATAGGGTGTTTTAACAAGTTCACAAGGTTTATGACAAAAATTAGAAGACTTTTTATTACTGAAATATTTTCATGAACTGATGAGTAGCAAAAAAAAATCTAGAAACATTTATAGTACATCTTTCTCTGTTTTCTTCTTACTTTCCCAAAGATTAAATGTATCAGCTTAAGCTGATATTTTTCATTTTTATAGTCCTGCCATACAACTGAGATTGTGCTTTAGAACTGTTTGGTTTCTAAAATTTCACCACTGAACCTATCACTAGGTGGAGTTTGTGCTCTTCGAAGGTGTAACCAGCCCCTAGAGCCAGAAATTCTCCTTCTCATGGCCCCTGAAAGAAGTTAAAGATACTCATTCTGTATCATATTTTCTGTTTCCAAATTCTCAGAAAACTTTATGTTTTCTGGCATATTGCTTTTGGCATTAAAGTACTCTGGTACCTTGGTGTATTTATATAGTGCATTTTGAAAGTTCTATACTGTGTGTACTTGTAAAAATACAAAGATAAAAAAATACAATTACTCATTTATTTCTAGGTATACAGTGGTCAAGTTCTGATAAATAAATGGAAGCCTAGATATATATGTTTGATTTAAATTGAAATGCTGTTAGTGTGCCTTGCATACACAGATAGACATGTATGTGCACTGAGACTTACATGTGTGTATTTATAGACAGACATATGTACAGACATGTGTGTGTATGTGTGCACATGGATGATCAAACTTGTGCCTGACCTCCTGAAATTTCCATTTAATCCATATACTTACACATGCAATTTTACTGATTTCCATTTATGCAGCTGCTGTTCCTATGCAAGTTTGTGGTGATTGAAATTTATAAAGGAGAGGACATGCTGTTTAGACACTATTTTATACACCCAAAGTTAATAATCATAGTCATAATTAACTTTGTACAACTTTTTCCTTTTTCTTCCAGGTATTACTTGTACTATATGCAAAATACATCCAGTCTTTGTCCCTGAGGAATATTTTAAGTCATACTGTTGACATTAGGGTAGTTGAAGTAAACTGAATTCATATCATGATGCTAAACCACTGTAAGTCCTGATAATCAAGAATACAGAAATTAATCCTGCATGACTGTTGAGAGACTAAGTATGGGTTCACTTAAAATGCACTCAAACTACTTTAGCTCTTTAAAATATAAATACACCATCTCTAAATTCCCTTACAGTGCTTTTAGGAGCTATTTATACTACTTTTAGGAGTTATTTATACTATTCACTACATAGAGGAGTTACAACATTTTCACTCTCTGTTATGTCTAAATTCCTTTAAGGACCTAAATAATGTTTTCATTAAGTATAATGAGACTACCATCAGCAGCGAGAATTGGAGATATAAATGTTTTGGTAGTAATTCTGCTTTGCTCAGTATATCATAGTGATGAGCTCTAAAGTTAACACCTATTTGCCTTTCAAGACTGTTCTGGAATTACATTTTATTCATGCTGTGTAATTAACACGTTCTTTTTCAGGACCCGATTTTAATGACTCAGCAAAAGCCTTGCAAAATCTAAATCTGGCTAAACTGTAGTTATTTGTACACAAAGAAGTCTTTTTTTTTTCCCAAGACCATTTTCATTTAATGTCAAAACAGTTTAGACACAGCTGTTTCCAATCACACTCATCAAAAACTGAAGATATATTAACAGTTAGAATTTTAAGGGATGTTAGGAGCATCAAAAAATAAAAAAAAAGAGATTTTGTTCTTTGGTATATCTGTTAAACATGAGACTGTGTTTAATCTGCTGATTTACCACATACTGATGAATTAGTCAGTGTCTAACTGGGAATGCAGTATTGTCTTCCCCCCAGAATTTTCTGTTTTGCTGGCTGCCCAAGACACACCAACCCTGCCAGATGGAATGGAAAAAGGCAACTGGTGTTCTCCAAGACTTGCTACGTGTGTACTCCATGGGTGTGCCTGACCCAGACTTTCAGGGTGAAGTTTTCCACAGCAAGGGTTTTGGCAGTGGAGAGACTGAGGGAATCCAAATTTGACCCTCCCCATCTCCTTTGTGCCATTGCTGGGAGGAAGGGCATGAGGCCACCTTTAACTGAGAAAAGCCCAGGAGATTTCTTCCAATCACTGGCATAGGGAGCAGGAAAGTGCTCAGGGATGGGACACACAGCCAGAGGCTGCTGCCCTGCAGAACATTTCATTTCCCTAAAATACACTATTTTTACAGTCAGGGCAGTATCTTATATTTTTGTCAAGGAGTGTGCCATTGAGGTTTAGGTGTGACCTAGGAAAGGAAGTTATTAGGATATAACTTAAGTTTATTATTTCACACAAGAAACTATGTGATCATCATCTCTGTTATTTAAGCTTCCAGAACAAGAATTTCAATTAATGTACCTCTTACCAACGTTTTCAGCCAATGCTGTCTCTCATAAGCTGGCCTCTAGTGTTTCTTTCCTTTCATTTAAGGAAAAGCAGCTTTCTGTTAGCAAACATGATTATATATGCAAGAAATGCATTATTCTGATTATTATATTTTAAGACTGTCTATTTCTGCAGATATTTACAAGAGCAATTCTAAGTATCAGAGTATTTGCATTCAGCCAGGCAATTCACCGGGCTAAAAGTGAGTGGTTTGGATTGGGGCCCTATTTGTCATTCTCTTATGATTAATTAGACTCCTTATTCAAGGATTTCAAAACTTCATTACACACAGTTGGGTTGTTTAGGTATTGTTTTTATTTCCTTATCATTCTTTTACTATTTGGAGAAAAATTACTAGATTGTTAAACATTTTTACAATTTAATTAATTTCACTTCTCCATCAAAAGCTGTATTTTTATTATCACTGTAACTGCAGTTGTTACAGCAACTCTGGCACAGCACAATAAAATTATACTTCTGAACTGCTATTAAAAAAGCAGAAAAGAAAAATTATGTTTTTATATTAACTTTTTGACATAACAAGATTTTTTTTTAAGTCTCCAAGAGCACTTAACTTCGCTTTGGGCTTTATTTTTCTATTCAACCAAGACATTTTCACACATTTTAGTCCTCTAGTGTTGCTTAATTTCAGTCTTGAAAATTTTCTTTTACCTCTGAACAGTCAAAACCTGAATTTTCCGTGAAAAGCAGACTGGTTAATTCTTCTGTAATGCCAGGAGTGCCAGGAACTCCAAGCTTAAATAGTTTGGAATTTTTTCTATGAAACTTAAAAGCTGAACTGGGAGAAAAAAAAAATGGACTGTGCCTTCAAATTCGATATAGGTGACATTTGTTTAATTCAGTTCCACATGCTTCCTCCTATTAAAAAGACCCTTAAGAAAACTACAAAAATCTGATTTTTTATTAGGAATTCATTTTTTTTTTTTAAGTTGTCTTGAATTTGCCTTTCAAGCCCCAGTCTTTTGGGTGATTTCACACTGCTGTCATTCTGACAGACATGAAGAATGGGTGTTACGTTGCACAGAGAAACTCAGAGAAACACGGAGCAAACTGGAGTCTGGATGAATGGACTCAGCACTGGCAGTTTTCCAAGGCTTATTTCAAACAGGCCATGAAGGATGCATTCCCACTGCTACTTATGCTCACATTTGTGTCTAAATTTGAGTTGTAAATTGCAGACTGTGTTAGCCCTTAAATCTGTTGCCTTTTTCAGGGCAGTTAGGATGCTCCAGGAGCTGGATGTCAGGGGAAAAGCAGCATCTCACAGTGCCCACTGCAAGAACCCTGTGCAGCAGACAGGCAAGACAAAGTAAAAATCCTGCCAACTCCTGTCGTTATGTTGTTTGAGCAGATGGAATTGCACATGCACAATCAGGAGCTACAGGAAAGCAGTCTGAGGTCCCACTGATTCCAGGGAATCAAACAGGATTTGCCTGTACCAACTCAGACACCACAGCTGCAGTCACCGATGGCACCTACCACTGACACCTTCTCTCACACTGAGGAGACAACCCAGCAGGGAGGATTTGTCACCACAATCACCACATTTCTACACTGTGGCCACGCTGCTTGAAATGGCTCAAAAAGGCTGCCCAGGATCTCTCTCTCATAGGCCCTACTCATAGGCTGTGACCTATGGGCAGGGTGGTGTTGGGACAGCTGGTGGAGAAGCTGCAGCTGCATTCACACTTCTGCTGGCAGTGGCTTATTGTACAATGCTCTCATACCAGTACAGACCTCAACTCACAGAAATACCTAAATGAAGGCCAGTGTTTTGGAAATGGGCCGCTACAAGGACAATACAAGAGATACCTGATCTGCTTCAGGTACCTTTATTCTTCCAATACATTGGAATGCTGAGCACAGAAAAACTACAGCAATTATCACTATCAGATTAAAGCACTGCTTTTCCTGATGTTGTTCTTTAAACAGAGTAAAAATCTCTTTACGTGTGGAAATCAAAGAATTCCTTAGGTTGTTAAACTGAAGTTGCTCTGATGAAACTGCCATTTGTTACCATCTTTCTTTTTCATTTTTTTGGCAGAAAAGTTCAAAGCAGATCATTGAGCCCAAGCTCAATGCCCAAGTACTGTACTTAGGCAGAGTAACTTGGAGAAGAGTTTGTGCCCAGGTCCCAGTGCCCACCCAACTCTACCAGGTATTTTACTCCAGAGGAGCTCTAGCCTGGCCTCGGGGATGCAGGAGATGCACTCACTACTGTGCACATCTCAGTCTCAAACAGCAAATTAGGGGATCCATGTGGGGAGGTAACCAGAGGCACTCCTGAGCCAAAGGAAAATTCAGATTGGAAAAAAATGCTTTGGAGAAAGCTCCCAAACACAGCACCCACACAGATTTTTCATTTTAATTACCAAGAAGGTTACATTTTTCTTAGGCCACTTAGTATAGCCAGCCTCAAAGTTCTGTTCCCAGACTAACATTTCCCCGTGAGATGACTCTCCTTCCTCTGCAATTCTGTGTCCCTTATTTCTAAAGAAGTATTCCTTTCCTGAATAGATGGTATTTCCCTATTTGTCCGGGAAACAGCGCAGAATGTGGGAGGGACCCTCAGAACTCCCTGGGCTCGCTCCCCTGTACTACCCCAGCACAC